GAACGTTCCTTATGGTAACATTCGTCTAGGAGCGCATCCATCTCCACAGAAGGGATCCGAATTTCTCAAATCGCACTTTTCCCCAGAACAGCCATACTTCTAGTCACTTTGAAGTGATCCTGAGCGAGTATCTTGGAGTAAACGGAAGCAACTTCTCCAATCATTTCCAAGCGAAGATTTGGTTTATTCTACTTACTGTTCACGACAATGTACTTAAAACAGTCGACTCCTCGTGCTGATGAACTGGTTGAGAACACTAAAGGCGGTCCAAATAGGTGATTTTCAGGTCAGTGCTTGCACCACTCCGTTCGTTAGAGCGAACGAAAGCCTTGGCATATGTAGAAACTCTCAAAGTAGATACGTTCGCTGTCATTTTCTGCAAGTTTCTTGCCGACACGTGCCCTCTCAACTAGACATTATTGAATGTGAAATCGCACATCGTGCATCTCAGACGTATCCATTTTCTTAGAAGAAGAGAAAATAGTAAGCTTGTGTGCACGATGTTGCACTGCAGCCCTCAATAGGAGCAACGTTTCTGTTTGCTCTCTTCTGTACAAACGTTTTGAAGCACTTGACCTGAATACTCCCGTCGTCTTATCGATAAGTTCAGTCGATAAATTTGAAAAAAAAGTCACGTGTAAGGACGAGGAAGGTAATTAATATGGAACTAAAGTGGTGATTCGAAATGCCAGATCGTAGTGGAAAACTAACAAATGTAATGGAAGAATCTAAGTTGCTTAAGAGTTCTCAAACAGTTTATTTATGCATTCCGCTTGAACGATTCTTTGGGAAGTCAGCTAATTCTGTAAGCACTGAGAGATCGTCTCCAGCTCCCACCAGTTTCCCTTTCCTGGGGTAGAGTTTCGATGACATTTATTCTCATAAACAGGCGCAAATTAGGGCTTCATTGAGCATCAGATTTATGAGCAGCTATGGTAGCTGGAAGGTCAGGTATAATTTGACTACTGTGTCACTAAGGTCGCTGCTACCCAGATTGTCTATACATTTCCTAGTCCTTTGGTCTTGCCTTGCACAACAGCTTGCCGTCCCTCATTTTCCTGGAGAAGAAAGTCACTCAAGCGGTAATTCACCGAATAGACAAATATCAATGGTCAGTTTTGATCAGTACCGATCGAAACTGGTCGGGGTTTTTCGGAGAATTTTCAGCAACCCTGCAAGTAGTGCGATATCTCGAATATCGCGCCAAATAAAATTCATTCTACTATTATACACGGCAGAGGACTGGCAAATCACCTTGAAGTTCAGTTGCATAGGAGTAGCTACACGTCAGCGTTCAATCTAGGGAGATTTTAGGGCAGCAGTCCGCTGAGGTATCAGTTCAAAAAACAAGAAACAGGGTTTTCAGATAGGAAGGGATTACGAGTGGACAAAATCTGTTGTGCTATGGAGCACGTCAGGCAGTTGTCCTTCTCAGACGCTCACACAGCTGATCATAAGTTTGCTGGAGCGTGTGAATGACCGTTCCATCATTTCATTCAGTAAGTCGCTCTTCGGATTTACGCTCGTTTCAACTTATGTTTACTTCTGATCAAGTCACCGCTAACTACCCCGATCTTCTAACACCGCAGTCTAATCTGAGCACGCTCAGCCAATAGTACACTGTGCGAAATATAACTGATTTTCCTCTTCCCAGGTAAAAAGTCTTTCTTTGTCAAAGAGGCTCGAAAAAAGTCTTTGTATTGCAGTTCGACAACTGGAAATAATTGCCTGATATTGCTTGCTCAGGTATCAGAGTTGGGGTCAGTTCTAGTGAGAGTTCCGATTCTGATTTGACCTCCAATATGTATCTTAAATCTTGGAAGAAATATGAAGGCAAATTTTGGCCAGCTACAGATGATCTATGTCTATCTTTGGAACATGAACAATAGCGTTTTTTTCAATTTAGTGAGAGACCGCGTAACAGATGTATTTTCGATCTCGACTGACGAAACGTCAAACGTGAGACAAGACAGGATCGGCAACCATCTTCGAGGCATTCATATAGTGATCGAAACCAGTTGGTGTGTTATCTACGAACTTTTCAGGACCTTAACTGCAAACTAATTTTCAAATGCAACTCAGTCAGCTTGATATTCGAGCACGGCTTTCATCGCAAATCCGAAATTGCAAAGTTTCATCAGAATAGCTTTTTTATGTTTCCAACGGAAAGACTCAATCATCCGTTTTTGGACGCTTCAGACCGAAGCACTCAAGGTTCGCTGTAACGCCCGATGACGATAATTAGAAACAGGAGGTTTGTTCGCTTCACAACCAGAATGACCATGGTAGTGCAACCCATATTGTTTGTTTGCTATTGCAATAGACCGGTAGCTTGATGTTCACAAATAACATGCAGTGGAAATGAACCGGTAGAGGAATCGTCAAGGAAGGTAAAGCAACGGGTTCAATGTGTGTTTTGCTATACCTTTTTGTGGTCCACATTTGAGCTAATCCGGCTTCTGATAATAATTTGACGTTTAAACACATGGTATAAAAAGAATAAACTAGGTCTTGAATTTTTTATCACACAAAATCTGCTACAGTAACGATAGTATTGACCTCATGGTGCATTGAATAATGATGTTATCAGGTTTCGTCGATCAAACATTATTTGCGAAAAATGTGATTACTGAGCTGGTCGTCAGCGATTTTTGTATGTGTGTTTGTGTTCACATCAACTCAGAGCCTCACGGTAGCCAAAACAATTGATTGCCAGTCAAAGCCCAATTCGGATGAATGACTGCTGTATATCCAAAGTCTGTACCCAACCGATGAGATCACAACAGAGAGAAATCGATAGTCAGATATTAGTGAGTTTAATCAGCTTTCTACACCATCGCATAGTTTGGGTGTATTGTGTCAGTGTTTGAAGACCGTACAATCCATAATTGGCGGCGATCTGAAGGCTTACGACAAGAATCTGTCTTGGCTGTTGATGGGTGGATTGTCTCAAATTCTTTGCTTCCGAATTCTTACAGATGTTTGAGTCACGGGTGTGACAGCATCGCAAGAGTCAAGGTTTGTCGACGTTCTTTCCAGAAGGACTTTCTATTATATGTATTGCAGGTCTTACTGCCTGAAGACCGTTCCGAATGTATAAAGGCGATGCTTGCATTAAATCGGCCCTATTGGATTACAAAATGCAGCACCGAGATCCTCACGTAAGATAAAAGTTGATCAACAATGAGGAGTGCGGCTTTCATATTTGACCTGCCTGGAACTATTCTACCAAAAAGAGGCAAATCCCAAGTGACTGGTTGGTACATCATTCACACGCAACCAATTTGTACGGGATAAGCGGTGCAAAATTGTAAACCCGTGATGTTGTACATAACAATCATAAACTAATTCACGTCGAAGTCTTTCGTGTCTCATGTGCCCTCGAACTTTCTGAATTCTACCTAGGCATGGGGCCCTGTTCAAACCAAGAGTTGTCTTTGACGTAGAAATGACATCGTAAATTTCCGGCTAGAGAGGCAAAGCGTTTATTAGGAAACGAGCAATCACGTAATTAAGTTGAAGCTATACAGAGGTAAGATCCACACGTAAGTCCACACCAAATGGAAGCACTGGGCTCGGGCTTCGCTCTTATTAGAGCTCATTAGCGGTGCATATTTGATGGCCGTGTCAGGATTTGAACCCTGGACATCTGACATGTGAGGCGAGCGTGTCGCCACTACTGTACGAAAGCATGTTGGACGCACTAAAATTTTCACGTCTGAACGAAGGTGTTCACACTTCAGCGATGTTATTGGTATGCCCAGCACGGTCATTGGAAATGCACTGCTGATGAGCTCTAGTAAGAGCGAAACTCGAGTCCAGTGGTTCCCTTTGGTGTGAACTCACCAGATCAATTTCACTGGAACTGGAGAACGATCGTTCAAACGAGAGTGATGTGAATATGAACAAAATGCATATCCCGCAAAACCCCAACTGAAACGTAAGATCATTGTATTTCCCTAAGCAAGACACGATTGTTATACTCTCCTCGGACGAAGTAAGACACCTATTTTTGGCCCTTATCTATGCATGTAGATGAAGCTTTCAGAATTTGAGTCCGGGATGTAAAAGAAACAGATTCCGACAAAGTGCAATAAACACTTATTTGCAATCCAATGTGATTTTATCTGGTGACTCAACTGAATTCCATCCACATTTTATGTTTATGATATTCTTCAACTGAATGCTATACGCATGGCAGCGTCATGGTTCAATTGACACAATCTGCAACATATCGATCGGTCGACGAAAAAATTGGTCTGTCGAGGGCTTCTGTGAAGCATGTCTAAAGTGTTGAAAACCCCATATAGAATTATGAACGCCCACTCGTCTCCCTCTGAATTATTGCAGTTATCAGCACTCCTGTCGTTATATTGTGCTGTACCAGGAGAAATGCTTGAAATCCACCGCAAAACGGCACTTATTTTACAAAGAAATGCATCTTAAGATAAGCGCACGATGGTCACGTACTAGGTACATTGCGTTGCGAACTGCTGCTATATGAATTCTCCGGACCATCGAGGCTAAAAAGCCTAACAGGCTTATAGATTTCAATGCATCTCTTACAGTGCCACAAAAGTCCACATCACTACCGGAGAATAACCAATATTTAAATAAGGTTACAGCCTGACACAGGTGATGGCGGCCTCTCCCAACCGACAGTAACATAATGTGGAAAACTCCGATATATCAACTGGGTTAACCGAAGCTCTTACCCTCGGTTACGAAACTTATGGATAACTAAACGACTAACCAAAGAGTAATGTTTCTACTATCAATATCACGAGTGAATCAAGGAACAAGGCCAGTGGATCAGAACGCTTTGCTAGGCACTCGACGGCCAACCTGTGATTATTTTGCGTATATATCTGTAAAATATGGCAGTATGCTCATTTTAAACCAGGAGTCCACTTGAGAGTGTTCTATTTACCCGAAAATGCAGCAGGAGATCCTAGGCATATTAACTCGGATGACATTAAAACAAAGGGTTGTATACTCACCCAAGGAGATTATGCTGCTTTCTTCTTCCGCGGCAATATGAACCATACCCTCACTTGTCTGAGACAGCTGTGAGAGAAGCGTTCGTCTCGACTCTCCTATTGGCCACTCGGGTTCTTCTAGGGGTAAGGCCTGATCGTCCATGTATGGAACATTATATACAACTTCTCTGCTTCCGCGAAAGCTTGGTATTTTTGTGGGAGTAAGAGCATCTGGGAAGAGGTAATCGTCGTTTACGAACTTGCAGCCCGGGGGAGGTAATCCGACCGTGCTCCATGGACGGCGTTTGGCCGAATCGGTTGTGCTTCTTCGACGCACATCCATAATATTTCCAGGATCCCTGAGCACAGGTGTTATTCTGAAACCTGTAGGCGTGGGTGGCACTTGTGGTGGTTCACCAAACTCAAGATTGTATATTTCATCTCGAGAAAGTCTTCTAAATTCGTCATCCCCATGCCAAGTTTGTCTCGAATACAGGTCTTTTGGCTTCCCCAATGGAGTCCTTGGAGTCAAAGGCACTTCGTTAGGCTTATCGATTTCAGGAGGTATAGTAGCATCTTTCGTTGATCTTTTTGTTTTTCGTTTTGGACCTGATCTAGATTTCTTGGGTCTTCTTTTCTTCTTCGCTTCCACGCTTTCATCTGGATGGGCACCACTAACAGGGGCAAGCTGATCTGCATTTTGACCAACTGTAGGCACAACATCAGCAGGTGATCTGTGTTTTCGTCTAACAAGGGAACCAAACACTCTAGGAAGGCTGAAGTTCGACCGACCACGGTCAACTTTAGCTTGTTTGTTGTAGGAGGACTCCATTTCAGAAGCATCACCATCTGTGATTGAGAAATCCAGTGGATGAATGTGACCGAATGACGGGTCAAAAAGTTCGTCTTCGCATGGTTTTGTTGCCGCCTGGATCTCAACTCTGGTGGGAGATGTATCACCGTGTCCATGCTTATATAACTGATCAAGAGTGCGCGCCGGTTTAGGATGACCGTGCAGACGAAGACCCCAAGACTTCTCTTGTCGGTTGATAGGTTCCTCGGGAGGTTGGAATTTCAGCTCCTGAGAGACAGATAGGTTTGGCGAATATGCAGGAACAAAAAGGGCATCACGAGCGTTTTTCAGAGGAGAACTACCCATTGGGGTGGCAGCTAAATCGGGCCCATTATCAGCAATATCAGTAGTAACAAAATTGTTAAGGCACTGTGAATCTGGCAGATTTAAATTAAAGGAAGCATTAGGGAAAGTAACAGGTTCCGAGGAAGCAAGTGTAACGACATCGGCGAATGCCTCAGAAATAGCCGTTGTGGGAGAATCAGAAAGAGATTTGTCAGGCCTAACGGAATCACCAATCCTCTGCGAAACAATCGATTCCGCGACAACAGAACTAGGAGAGGGCGCAGAAAAATCAACAAGGTGCATATCTGACAAAACAAATTCAGCGTCATTAGCGGAGAAAAGATTAACGTCAACTGCAGAGTGCAACGAAGAAGGTGATAAATATGTGCTTGGACGTGAAGCAGAATCATAGAAAATAGGTTCGGAAACAACAGGGACAGGAGGTGATGGGACGGAAGAACCTGCGAAAACACCAACAGGAGATATTGAAGAGGATAGTTCAGAATTTGGAAAAGAGAGGCCAGAAAATATCGGAGAAACATCCGCAACACCAACAGCGTCTCCCGCAAAATCAACAGTATAGGAGTTCCCATTACCCAGCTTAATCTTCGGCGACCACGG